TGGCAGGGACAGATGGGGGACACTGCAGGGACACCTTGGGGACACGGCCTTGGCTGGGATGTGTGTGGGGACGTGCGGGGGTGACATGGGGACACGTGAGGGAACCGTGGGAACAGGGGGATTTGGGGACAGCGTGTGGGGACATGTGGGGCACACAGGGAGGGGTGCACAGGGACGGTCCCGTGACCTGCTGTCCCCCCGTGTCCCCCCGTGTCCCCCCGTGTCCCCAGATCAACATGCTGATGCAGTACAAGGGAGGGGCTGAGGATGAGGAGTGTCCTGTGCCTGGGGACATCCGGGACGAGCTGCTGGACTTCCACAACGACCTGCTGGCCCACTGCGGTGAGGGGGGGACAGGGACACCCCCCTGGCCTTGGGGACACCTCCCTGGGGGGAGGGGACACCCCCCTGGCCTTGGGGACACCCCCTGGCCTTGGGGACCCCTCCCTGGGGGGTGGGGACACCCCCCTGGCCTTGGGGACACCCCCTGGGGTGTGGGGACACCCCCCTGGCCTTGGGGACACCCCCTGGGGTGTGGGGACACCCCCCTGGCCTTGGGGACACCCCCTGGGGTGTGGGGACACCCCCCTGGCCTTGGGGACACCCCCTGGGGTGTGGGGACACCCCCCTGGCCTTGGGGACACCCCCTGGGGTGTGGGGACACCCCCCTGGCCTTGGGGACACCCCCTGGGGTGTGGGGACACCCCCCTGGCCTTGGGGACACCCCCTGGGGTGTGGGGACACCCCCCTGGCCTTGGGGACACCCCCCTGGCCTTGGGGACACCCCCTGGGGTGTGGGGACACCCCCCTGGCCTTGGGGACACCTCCCTGGGGTGTGGGGACACCCCCCTGGCCTTGGGGACACCCCCAGGGGAACTGGGATCTCCCCAGTGGAACTGGGACCCCCATTGTGGGACCCCAGAGACCCCTGGGAGCACAGGGACTCCACCCAGGGACCCTGAAACCCCCCCCCCCCCGCTCTTTGGGGACATGGGGACACAGGGACACCCCTGTGACCTGTCCCCGTGTCCCCCAGGCGTGGAGCTGACGGAGGAGGAAGAGGAGGAGGAAGAGGAGACGTCGCTGCGGCAGCGGCTGCTGGGGCTGGTGCAGAAGGTGGTGGGGGTCCGGGGCCCCCCCAAGGAGGAGGAGACCCCCCCCGAGGAGCCCCCGGTGCCCAGTGAGGAGGGGACGGGGGGGGTGGGGACAGGGACGCTCAGCTGTGTCCGGGACATGGCCAAGGTGGCATTGGGGTGACGCGTGGGGTGTCCCCAAGGAGTTGGTCAGGGTGTCCTCAAGGTGACACGTGAGGTGTCCCCAAGGAGTTGGTCAGGGTGTCCTCAAGGTGCCAACCAAGATGTCACCAAGACACAGCCAAATTGTCCCCAAAGTGGCAGCGCTGCAGGAGCTGATCTGGCAGACCATGGGCACAGGAGTCACTGTGTCCCCAGTGTCCCCAATGTCCCCAATGTCCCCGATGTCCCCAGTGTCCCTGATATCCCCAATATCCCCACTGTCCCCAATGTCCCCATGTCCCCGGTGTCCCCAGGCACGCTGCAGGAGCTGATCTCGCAGACCATGGTGCACTGGGTGCAGGAGTCACTGTGTCCCCAGTGTCCCCAATGCCCCTGTTATCCCCAATATCCCCAATGTCCCCGATGTCCCCAATGTCCCTGCTATCCCCAATGTCCCCAATGTCCCTGCTATCCCCAATGTCCCCCTGTCCCCGTCCCCAGGCACGCTGCAGGAGCTGATCTCGCAGACCATGGTGCACTGGGCGCAGGAGTCACTCAGCCCCGAATGTCCGCGCTAGCCCAATGTCCCCATCCCCAGGCACGCTGCAGGAGCTGATCTCGCAGACCATGGTGCACTGGGCGCAGGAGTCACTGTGTCCCCAGTGTCCCTGATATCCCCACTGTCCCCAGTGTCCCCAGTGTCCCTGCTATCCCCGATGTCCCTGCTATCCCCAATGTCCCCAGTGTCCCCAATGTCCCCATGTCCCCGGTGTCCCCAGGCACGCTGCAGGAGCTGATCTCGCAGACCATGGTGCACTGGGCGCAGGAGTCACTGTGTCCCCAGTGTCCCCAATGTCCCCAGTGTCCCCAATGTCCCCATGTCCCCGGTGTCCCCAGGCACGCTGCAGGAGCTGATCTCGCAGACCATGGTGCACTGGGCGCAGGAGTCGTTCATCCAGAGCCCGGCGCTGGTGCGGGCCATGTTCAGCCTGCTGCACCGGCAGTACGACGCGCTGGGCGAGCTGGGCCGCGCCCTGCCCAAGGCTTACGCCATCAGCGCCACCTCGGTGCCCGACACCACGGCCCTGCTCGAGTGCCTGGGCCAGATCCGCTCGCTGCTCATCGTGCAGATGGGCCCCGAGGAGGAGAACCTCATGATCCAGAGCATCGGGTGCGTGGGGCCCTCTGCGGCACCTGTGTCCCCTCTGGGTCACCTTGTGTCCCTTTGTGTCACTCTGGGTCCCCTCTGGGTCACCCTGTGTCCTCTCTGGGTCACCCTGTGTCCCTTTGTGTCACTCTGTGTCCCCTCTGGGTCACCAGGTCACCTGTGTCCCTTTGTGTCCCTTTCTGTACTCCTTGTGTCCCCCTGTGTCCTCTCTGCGGCACCTGGGTCCCCTCTGGGTCACCTTGTGTCCCTTTGTGTCCCCCTGTGTCCTCTCTGCGGCACCTGGGTCCCCTCTGGGTCACCTTGTGTCCCTTTGTGTCCCCCTGTGTCCTCTCTGCGGCACCTGGGTCCCCTCTGGGTCACCTTGTGTCCCTTTGTGTCCCCCTGTGTCCTCTCTGCGGCACCTGGGTCCCCTCTGGGTCACCTTGTGTCCCTTTGTGTCCCCCTGTGTCCTCTCTGCGGCACCTGTGTCCTCTCTGCGTCACCTGTGTCCTCTCCGGGTCACCTGTGTCCCTTTGTGTCCCTTTCTGTACTCCTTGTGTCCCCCTGTGTCCTCTCTGGGTCACCCTGTGTCACCCTGTGTCCTCTCTGGGTCACCTTGTGCCCTCTCCATTACACAAGTCCTGAATCTGATCCCTTCAATTGAAGATCTCTTCAATTTTGAACTCCCTCTCCCCACATCTCCACAGGAACATCATGAACAACAAGGTGTTCTACCAGCACCCCAACCTGATGCGGGCTCTGGGCATGCACGAGACCGTGATGCAGGTGATGGTCAGCGTGCTGGGCGGCGGCGAGTCCAAGGTGAGCCCCCACCCCTGGGGGTGCCCCCCTAGGGACCCCCGCCCCTCCCAGAGGTCCCCTGACCCCCCGGTGCCCCCCAGGAGATCCGCTTCCCCAAGATGGTGACCAACTGCTGCCGCTTCCTCTGCTACTTCTGCCGCATCAGCCGCCAGAACCAGCGCTCCATGTTCGACCACCTGGGCTACCTGCTGGAGAACAGCGGCATTGGGGGGGGGGGGGTCTCTGCCCCCCACTCGATGTCCCCTGATGTCCCCGTTGTCCCCAAGGCATGCAGGGCTCCACCCCCCTGGACGTGGCGGCCGCGTCTGTCATCGACAACAACGAGCTGGCGCTGGCCCTCAAGGAGCAGGACCTGGAGAAGGTGGGGACAGCCCCGTGTCCCCCCTGTGTCCCCTCCGTGTCCCCCCGTGTCACCCCTGTGTCCCCTCCGTGTCCCCCCATGTCACCCTTGTGTCCCCTCCGTGTCCCCTCCGTGTCCCCCCGTGTCACCCCTGTGTCCCCTCCGTGTCCCCCAATGTCCCCGGTGCCCCGTGTCCCCTCACCTGTGCCCAGGTGGTGACGTACCTGGTGAGTTGCAGAGCTGCCCCGTGGTGCTGTACCCCAAAACCCTCTGTGTCCCCCCGTGTCCCCCCATGTCCCCTGGTGTCCCCTGGTGTCCCCTGGTGTCCCCTGGGGCAGGTGGTGACATACCTGGCGAGTTGCAGAACTGCCCCATGGTGCTGCACCCCAAAACCCTCTGTGTCCCCCCGTGTCCCCCGTGTCCCCAATGTCCCCTGGTGTCCCCTGATGTCCCCAATGTCCCCTGGTGTCCCCGCTGTCCCCGGTGTCCCCTGGGGCAGGTGGTGACCTACCTGGCGAGCTGTGGCCTGCAGAGCTGCCCCGTGGTGCTGCACCCCAAAACCCTCTGTGTCCCCCTGTGTCCCCCCGTGTCCCCTGGTGTCCCCTGATGTCCCC